AGGAGGGGAAGAACTCCCTTTTAACAGGAAGACATCTCCAGCAGAGCCAGGCTCAGTGTGAGCAGCCATCTGCTGAGGCCGACTGGGGTTCAAGGAGACAGAAGCAGAGGTACAAAAAGCAGCTGTAAAAGGCGGCCCCTTCCAGGAAACACACAGCCAGGCAGACAAGCTCCGAGCCAACAAAATACAATTTCACTGTCTAACAGAAACTACCCGTCAGAGGCCAGCTTTAAAGTTGTGTTTCCACCTTAAGCTTTGATGTGATATCAAAACACATTTATATGAGATTACTGGAAAAATTGTTGTTTGATGGTATTTCATCCTGTGTCTGGTCAAACATTCATACATTACACCAATATCTTGAACACCTTTTTATTTTATATTTTACACCCATTATGTAGTCATATTTTGCTTCGTCTTATTGTGCTAAAATAAGTATTATTCTCAACTTTATCTTATTTGGAGAATAAGGTGTGAACAAAATGTTGTGGTTATTTATTCTGTCTTTTATCTTTGATATTTCCTCCTTTTACATTAGTGAAATTTGGAATTAAACACTATAGAATGAACATTTTAATTATTTCTCTTTTATCTGTTATCTTAAATATATTTAAAAAAATAGTCAGATTAATATCGTTTCAGTGCTAACGAAACAGCACAGCACTGCTTTGAATGAAACAGTGAAGAAGTTTCTGTTAAAATAATTGAATTCAGTTTATGTATATAGGGCCAATTCACAACACATATCATCTGAAGGCCCTTAACAGTTCACCAGATCATACAGTCAAATTGATTCAAAGTTTTCTATCTAAGGAAAACCAGCGGATTACATCGACTCATTGACTCGAAGGCAATCCCTCACACTAAGCAGGCTTGTGGCCACGGGTGAGGAAAAACTCCCTTTTTCCTCACCCGGGACTTGCTGGAAACCTCCAGCAAGACCCGGCAGCATAATTAGTTGTGTAGAAATGTACAGCAGATATTGTCGCTGATTTGGAGCTCTATATGTCGCCACCTCCTTTATTTAATAAATCTATAATCTTAACTAAATATAGTCCTGTTTAGCACACACAGTGCTCTTTCTGCAGCAGGAGCAGATTAATTAAATTGTTTCTACATGCAGACACTGTATGCATATTAGCAAAAAATGTAAACACATTGCTTTAAGAGCACATTTTTCTTAAAGTGAACATATCGAAAATCTAGCTTCCACTAAATATTGTGTCTAAAAGGAAGACAGAATGTAGCTTTTCTACATGATGACTTAAAGCTCACCTAAAAGTTGATAAATAGGGTGAGGTAATAGATGATTAATCGGGGATAACCTAAAACAGAACAAGGTTAAGTCACAAATAATGTCCATGAAACAAATAAGTTCAGTTTACATAATGTATGTAAATATTTAGTAAGTACAGTAATCTGCATGTATTTCGAATTTTGCGCAAAGCAAGTTATAGGACTTTTATGATTAAACAACTCAAATAATTCATTAGACAAGTGAATAACAATCATTCTAAGGAACATTAAAATAATAACAATCTGCTAATGAATAGAAGCAGTTATTGTTTCACCTTCTTTAATGTAACATTTAATCTGATGGCAAAACGTGATTTCAATGAATTTTCGCAAAACTGTAAAATTATACGACTGATATAAAATAAAAAATTCAATAATGTAAATGACAGATATATTTTACTTCAGTGAGCAAATAAACAAGGAAAAAAAAGAGGACAAAGGTTTTGAATTACAAAACATTTATTTCATTTCAGTTACATTTTTTCCAGCCAACCCAAACAAACAGATCAGATCATTTTATTTTGACACAAAGCAGTCTTTTCCAGATTTTACGTACTTCAGACAGATTCAGTCCATACATCACAGGGTTAAAGATTGGCTGACAAACTATAAAGTAAAGGGATAAAAATATTTTTGTTAAACGTGGAAAATGGTCTGTGTTAAACCTGCTCTGATAAATTTCCAATGAAACTCCGAATGTATAGTTGATCAGAGAGACCAGGTGAGGTATGCAGGTTGAGAGCGCTTTCTTCCGTGTCTGTCTGGATCCAGAGTAACACACTTTAAGGATTCTATTGTAGGTGTAGATAATAAGAGTGACTGGAATAAAGGTGCTGACAACAGTTGAAATAATCCCGTAGATATTATTTACAGTTGTATCAGAGCAAGCAAGTTTAACTATGGAGTAGTTAGTGCAGTACACTTTGTTAATGAAGTTTCTGCAAAGCTGCAAAGAGAAACTCAAAGATGTAGAGATAGCAATACCAAGAAAAGAAATAATGAAGGTTGCTAAAACTAGATAAGCAATTACCTTGGCAGTCATTAGCTGCTGATACTGCAGAGGTTTGCAGATAGCCAGATATCTGTCATAAGACATGGCAGTCAGGGTGAAAAACTCTACACCTAAATAGGAATGAATGAAGAAAATCTGAGTGAAGCACAGCGGGATAGACACTGTATGAACATCAGAAAGGAGCTGAACCAGCAGAAAGGGAAGCAGTGCTGTGCTGCCAAACATTTCATTAAAAAACAGGCTGCACAGAAACATATACATGGGTTCATGTAAGCTCCTATTTACACAGATCACCGAGATCAGCAGGATGTTAAAACCAATGATCAGAACATACAGACACAGTATGATCGAAAAGAAAAGGTACTTTAACAGTTTGGTGCCAAAATATGCTCCTAGTATAAAATGGGACACCTGTGTTGAGTTCATCGTGATGCTAGACTGTTAAGAGACATAATGTGAAATCCTTATGATGGAAAGTTTTTTAAACAAACTTAAACTCTAATAATCATAAATATTCATGTGAAAAGCAAACAAAGAAAAAAAAAATCAAAGGTCATTTATGGAATCAGCAATTACACTCACCACCCTCAAATTCAGAATAAGTATAACATGAATAAAATACAGATCATGACAGCGAGTTAATTTGGGCTGATTAAATCTTACTGCTGTTTTTAAACCTTTCTGTTTCTCCCACATCACCTGTTGTCACGATGGCCGGGTTCTCGTTCCAATCAGTGTCATCATGTCCCCCACCCCCTGCCCCCCATGTACTTCATTATTTCCCTGTTGCAACTATTCATGTTTACAGCTGGTTCTAGAATATAAAATATATATATATATATATATATATATATATATATATATATATATATATATATATATATATATA